TAGAAAAGTGATCATTACATCAGTCATAAATACCCTGCTTTTTCTTTTTTTTTTTTTCCCTTAAGAGCTACCACATTTTACAATGTGCATTCACAGAAAACACAGTCATAATGGACTTAAAGAATCTGTTGGGTTTTTTCTGAAGTAGGGAATAGACTTCTTTCCAGGACATGAATCTATCATGAGCTTAGGTTTGTTCCACCTCAAAGAAGGGGTAAAACAGAGTACTACACTTGCTTCTGCAACTTTTAATAACTTAGCAGTTCGTAGAGTGCTTTTGGTGCTTTTGCTTAGCCTAACCAGAAAAATATTCCTCATCTATACTGAAATTCTTTTTTGGTGACCTTTATAGTCTTTGCCCTTATTTGAGCAAGGTGTGTTAATCTGGGCTGAAAATAAATAGAAGGAATATAAGTCCTTGAAACTGTATATTGATGCTTCAATAACTTTTGTTAATTTAAAAATGCATACATGTGTGTACATATATATATATTTATATGGCTTAAAACTAAATGGAATACAAGGAGCTATGGGTGGGAAGTGTCACTTTGCACTTTGTTGGTGGGATGGATGTGTCTTCCAAAAGAAGAAGTCTGAAGACACATCCTAACATGTGCTGAAATGCTGACATTTTTCTGCCTCCTTGGCCTCTCTTGGTATCTTTTTTGTTGTTCTTATTCACCCCTCTCCTCCTAAGAGGGGGCTGTTTTTTTGTTTAGTCACATTCTACTGACAGTCACAAATACCTAAGAAAAGGTTTCCAATATTGCACTCCATTCTCCTCACATTCCCCCACAGCTCCCCCCTGTTCATGAGATTTCACATTTGCTGCACACAAACCCCTTAAGAACTGAATTCTGACAAACATGAAGCTGATTTGTAGTGATGCTAACAAAATGAGGATATTTTCATGAAGTACTCTCCACCAAGCATTTACTTGCTTTCTAAATGCAAATCCAAGGGGTGTATTCTGTTTAACAGCAAGGGATTATGTTTGCCATTGGTATTTCTAAGGTAGCATTTCTGCTCAGTGCTGTTGAGCTTTTCTCTGTTATTATCTGAGCTACTTCAGGGGGTACACATGCAATAACTATTCCAACTGCATATGCTGTATGTTATTCATCTTTTAATCTTCTAATTGTAACAAGTAAGGGCATGTGCCAGACCAGGAAACACTTGGGGAAAAAAGATACAGTGAAAGCAATGAAAATACTGTACACTAATAGTACCTTCCTTCTACCTGTAACAGTTGCTTTTTGTTATCAGGAAAAGCATGTCTAATTTGCATGTATGAATGAAGCAACAAAAATCCCATAATGCTTCATTCTTAAACTCTCACTTGACAAAGTTTTTGTGGTTCTTCTAGGCTAATTTAAAGAGGGAGATATTTGTTATGGGTAAACCTCCTCGTAGCCCAGTGATGACTACGAGATCCTGCAGCTCTCCTGTCAGAGGTCACAGCTATTCACACAGGGTATGGTACTGGATGCCCAGTGTGCAATAACAGCTTTTCCATGGACAAGGAGCTCAGTGTCTAGTCTTTAAGTATTTTGCTTTTACCCAAGTGTCTCAATACTATCAGTATGCTGTGTTTTCTTTCTGCTGTGTTTCTGTGCTATGACTGAGTAAAGGCAATGGGTCTTTGTGTGCCTGAACTTTTTTATATAAATCTGTTAGTGTACTGTATCTCTGCAGTACTGCATGGTATTTCCAGTGCTATAGGGAAATTTATATTTAGTCTGGTTCTTTACAGTTAGTATAAATAGTATAATAATATTGTTAGTATATAGTATTAAAATCACTCCTCTCTTTTCAAAGCATTTTTAGTTTATTAAATTACAGCTTCTAAGAGTCAAAAATTTGTTCTCCATTGCATGTATCCAGGCCTTAGCATGTATACAGGCTGAATTTTTGGTTTTGAATCCACATCCTTATTTTCAAAATGTTTTGCACCTGCTATATTTTTTTCATTCAACACTGTTCTCTTTAACTAAGCATTCCAGATTTCAATACTCTTTAACCTTTCACTTCTTATCTGTAATGTAACTGTAACACAACTCTAATATTTTCATCTAGCCAGAAAGGTTGTTTAGAATTTGCATGGATTTTGCTCAGAAAGGTAATCTACATTATGAAAAAGGGAAAAAAAAAAAATCAAACGAACACAAAAAGCCCACCCTCAACCTAAACAAATATGAGAATGGGAATTTATGGCATATGTTTTACTTTCAGTTTAGGATTTAATTGTACTTTGCATTGGTTTCTTAACATTTAGGTCGTAAAAATAGTAATGGGATGAATTGTTTTCCATGCTGTTGCTGCTGATTTTAGGTGATCATCTTTCTGGTGTCTCCCTTTTTAAAATTTGAATAAAATATGCAGGTTTGTGTAACTTCCAAAGTCCTAGCTTTTTGGCAGGCCTCTGCCTCCAGGTATTGAGGGGACAGTGCTTTCTTCATTACTGAGGAAAGACAGTTCAATCCTAGGAAGGCCAGGATTCTTGTAGTAGCAAACAGCATCTCACAAAAAGTCCAACTAGGAATGAGAGCTGTAAAAAAGGAATTAAGCCCTATTTTAATTTTGCACATGGCTACAAATGAGTGACATGTAACCAGTATATTACGAGGAGTGTATTGATGTGTAGTGTACTTATGATTTTAATTCCTAAAGTACAAGAGCATATATCGTGCACCTAATTTTGCGTGCTCAGGACTTTACAGAACTTATATGCAAGTGCAGTATCAATCATGCATGAAAATCAGGCACACAACTGGGACCATTGACTTGATTTCACACTCCTTAATATTTTTGGGATTAGGTCCTGCAATATTAGGATAGTCTAGTAAAGTGAGGTGCAGTTGAAAACTAGGAATCTTTGTAACAGTCCCCTGTCTAGACAATGCAACTGTATGTGGGAATGAGAGCTTAGGGAAAGAAAACAGGGAGAAAGCTTCTGGATGTCAGCTGGGGTGTTACTGTGGAATGCATCCAAACAAAGAGTGAGTGCCAAGGTTCCCCCTGTTCAGACATAGCACCAATTACTTCACCCTGTTTCTCCAAGATTTTAATTTTGTCACAAGACTGTTTTCTCTGTGGCAATAACATACAGTTGAAAATCACGAGTCACCTTGATTCTTATTTATTTCTACAGTAGTTAATTAGCAATAGAACCTTTTATGAAGCATATGCATAAAAAAGAAGGTAATACTAACCTACCCAGTTTCTTCCTGGCTTGGTATTATGTTCAAAGCATTAAATCATTTGTAGCATTGTTTAGAACTTTTACTTCGATTGTTTATAGGAGAAGTCCTTAACCTCGCTTGAGTTCTTTTGCATCTCTGACTATTTTTGGCATTCAGCTCAGTTACAGACCTGATGAAAGATTAGCAGCAAATCAGGTCAGATTCCAGTCTAAATACAAAGCATTCTGACTATTCTCCTACTGCTTGACAAGCCAGCAATTGAAGGAAAAAGAAGGTTTACTGGGAACTGTTTAATTTGCAATCTTTACTGTTTATTCTTCAGTAAAAATTATCCATCTTTCTTGTACACTGGCAGAGGAGAGTTAAGTGAGAGAGAGAAGACAGTAAAGAGTATAAAAAAAAATTTTTATTTTTTTTTTTACTTTGAAAATCTATATGAATTTTTTAAAAAAATCCATTATCTACCTGCCTGTATATTTAGGCATTTTTTAAAAGTTATACTCTATAGACTGTAAAGTACAGACTGTTCACAGTATTTTCTGCACATATTCATAGAAACTTCTGAAAAGAAATATAACTAATTTCATCTGGAGATGCTGAGGGAAAAGAGGGGGGAAGAAACCTAACAAACTACGTCCTGTGTTTTTCCATTTAATTTTTGCCATCAGCTTGTGGATTGTTTACTGTTGCCTTCTCTCTTGGAAGACTATATCATCTTCAAGAGTGATACAAGAGTGACTGGAATACTCAAACCAAGAGAGAACCATGGAGCAACAAGACAAATTCCATGGCTTAGAGATCAGGTTGCAGTTTACTCAATTCATGAAAGAAAGTGTTATGAGCAGTGTTTGATATCCACACTCCCAAAACAGATATGGTTCCCAGACTTGTCTCTACAGCATGACCAGAGGGCATCCTCAGTCAACAAAGAATATGATCCCTGCTCATATCAAGAGCTTTCCCAAGCAGCTGCTCCTGCACTTTCTGGCCCCAGCCAGATTCTAATCAGTATAGGTCAATGACTTTCTAAGCAGGATATGGTTTCTGTAGAAGATTAGTATTTTCAATTTCCATCACATCCAGATGTATTGAATATTATTGCTCACTAATGCTCCATTAAGAAGGAACATAGTTCCTTTCAAAAAGCTTTGCACTGGAAATACAGACTATTTTTTTCTGTTGAAGTGTTAATTGTTATATTCACACAATTTGTTGTATTCTTCCAAAAATTTTTCCTGTTCTTTGCCTCCCAGCAGCCCGCATGGCTTGAGATGAAACAGAATTAGTTAAAGCATAGCATGTTATGCCTGCCAAGTTAGTACTCTGTGTGTGTAATGTAAATTGGTATGTTGTTCGTCTGTGAATAATCTAGATTCTGCCATTATGTGTAGGAGATTTTATTTCTGCTTATCTAAAAATGTATTTTACCCAAAGAATGTATGATGTTCATTAGTTGCATCTGATTTTTCTAAGTTATTTCTGTTTCACAGTGAAGAGGCAGCAGGCTTCTATTCCAGCTTTGTACTATTCTATAAACAGAATGGACTGTTGATGATGTTCACAGTTTTGTTTAGTTTTTATTATGATCTCCAAAAATCAGATCTTTAAATGTACCAAGATTCAGTTGTTTGACTTGTCTCTTAAGAATTTATTGTGAGTTGGAAGGGGGGCAGAATGGGCCATGGTTTTACACAAGGTAGAATATGAACTCTTGAGCAACTATGTGTTACACCCCTATCCAATTATTTGGACCTTAAACTGCAAATCTTTATTACATTTCAAATCATTTCATTTCAGCCACAGCGCCCTGTGCTTTCTCATGAAAATATACACAGTGGGGGGGAACCGTAAGTATAATTCTTGTCTACTAAACCAAAACCTAACGTTTAAGTAACAGCCAGCACATCATCAGATAATTTTTTAACTTTCCAAGTACAATTATGAAGTGATTTCACAGATTTATAGATAACTGCATGATGTAGGAAGATAGCCAAGAAAGTCCCAGAGGGCAAAGCCTTATTTATTTAATTTTACATTCAGTGCAGCCAGACATGGCAACTTAACAGTTCTTCATTGTCTGTACTTACTGAAGAGATTTTGACTTTTTTTTATTCTCTCCATTTTTACATCTCAGCAAAATGACAATAACAGATTCAGCATTGATTCAATTGATGTGCTTTACTGTTTTATCCAGAAGCAGTTCTGGATTTGAATAGAGAGAAAACAAGTAACTTGATAATGTTGATCACAGGAACACAGGCTCACACATTTTGGTGTGATTTACAAGTGCAATTCAAATATGAGATACAAGGAAAGCTTCTCTGAAAACTGCAGAACTCGAGTCTTATTTTGACAAACATTTAAAGTGCTTGGGATATTTCATTACTGACTCTTAAAATGCAAGTTCAGTGCAAGATTGTCTTGAGATTCACACCACCCCCCCCCCCCCCCCCAAGTCTTGACACCGGGCCCTACTTCAGTGATCACTGAAACCAGTTGCCAATCTTCCTTTAGCATCAGAGCACTTCAGCATATGCTCTATTATAGCATTTTTCATAAAATGTACCTAGGGTTTATTGTCTAAAAATATTTTTAAGTTTTCGTCAGTCATTTGTAGAAGGAAAAGAGAGGTTAAAAAGTTACCAAATAGCTATACTACAGATATAATTCGATTTGGATATTTAATCTCTTTAAAACCAAAATTTTCTGTTGGTATTGTTGAGCATACTGGAGCACCTAACTCAGTTTTGAAATCAATAATTGTCTAATTCATTTTTTTCAAGATAGTATACGTAGTTCATGACTAAAGTTACTGATTCGTAAAATGAAAAATAGAAATACATTTAAATTGCTAACTAACCATTCTTTCTCTTGAATATGTTTTCTGTCAGTATTGTAAATGCTAGTAGAGTTTTCATATTTACAAAAGTCTTAGATTAGCATAGAGAGAATGAAATTACTACAAAGAAGTTTGTTAAATGGATTATCTAGAAATTACTAAAATTCAATTTCTCAAGTACAAAGAGTGCTCATTGGGAAGTTCTTGTTACTGTACTTGAGTAATTGGCTTGAATCCTGTTCATGACACATTACATCTGCAAATCCTGTCCCCTTGGAAGCTGCATTGAATTATTTTTTGGAATATCACCATAGCTCTGCTTTCCTGAAATGATGATAAGCATAACAGAAAATATTATTGCCACTTAGTTTATTGCACAGATTGCTCTTACTCCTGCTACATAAATTACTAAAGGTAATTGCTTAAACAACCAGTCTCTTTCCATTTTGTTAGTGTAATTAAAATATAAAAAGATACTTTTGTGGCTTGGGAAGATGATTGCCAGTGATGAGAAATTAAGTTAATTTTTTCTTTTTTTTTCTTGGAACATTTTCTTATTTTCTAATCTCCAAACCAGCAATGTGAAAAATAAGTGTAGTTTATTCAAGAAGACATCATTAAACTAAACCTAGCACCAGTCTGTATATACGATTTTCAAACTGAGCTTTCAGGAGCAGGAATTTTTTAATAAACATGTTATTTAAGTCATGAAAACTTAGCTGGAATGATAAACACATCAATGAGCAAGCTATCTTGTTTTTACTGGGGAAAGTGTAATTATGGTATTAAGGTTAAAAATTCAGTGAACTGTTTTAAGAGCAAAGAATGGATACAATAATATTTTGCTTCAGTAATCTAAAATGAAAACTATATCCTTTTCTCAATTTCTGCAGTTGTACCCTGCTTCTTTTTAGACAGTCAGTTATGAGGCACAGTTGCATAGGGAAAAAGGCCAATTCTGACTCTGCAGGACTCACAGGATTGTGTAACAATCTTCCTGTGGGCCGTCAGCCCAAGAACCTTCAGTTCCCCCTAGTCAGAGTTTATTCTTTCAATTCAAAAAACTTTAATTAAAAGCTGGCAAGAACTGGAATACAATGCATTTAGTAATTGCACACCTCTTACCATTTATCCACCTTACATCCTGCAATCTGCAGTTATGGCCAGGTGTAGAAGCATGGCCCAGGGTTTGAATATTGCTTGAGTTTCCATCCATACGTCCTCTGATTTGATTCAGGCCTCTCCCTCATTCTCAGGGAGAGATGGCTTATCTGTGTAGCCACTGAAGAGCCCAGGGAGGTCCCCCAGCCACAATGACAGCGCGTGAGAGCTGCTGTCTTGGGTACCCTCGCTTGTGCTGCCACTGGCTTCTCAGAGCTTAAAGGTAGAACCACAGTGTTAGGTGCTGATCATGGAAGGTTACAGGGCTAGCACATCTAGACTCTCCTTTAGAAGTGCTCTGTTTGGTGACTGAACTATAAAATAACACGAAAATGTTTAAAAAAAAAAAAATAAATCTGTTTTTGAAACAACTGGTTGAGGAGCCATCAGGCTTGCCTTTAAACCCAGTCTTCAGTGTCTCATGAGTTGCCTTTCTAATGAAGGTTTTATTTACTATAAATTCCTAATCCTTAAGTGCACCAGGCAAAATAAAGTCCTTTTCCCCTCTATTTGCAAGTGTTTCTTCTTAATGTTTAAACCAGCTCCTTTACTTGAGCAAAAGTGCAAGGAACTTTTTCTTCTTTTTAAAATGCATCATTTGTCCTATTTAAGGTTTCAGGCTCTATATAACTATACTCCTAGGAACGAAGATGAATTGGAGCTCAGAGAGGGAGATGTCATTGATGTGATGGAAAAATGTGATGATGGATGGTTTGTGGGTATGTTTTAATTTGGCTGCTTTCTTTTTTTTTTCCCCCTGACCTGTGCTGCCCTCTTTGTGTAGTGTCTTTTAATCAACTTGATTTTTGGCATGTAGCGTAATAAACATGAACCTGGCTTTATCAGGAGAAATCCCAACCAAAATCCACTGAAACTAGCGGGTGATTTTGCACTTTTGTCTTTTAAAATTGATAGACACAAATTGACACACGCCTCTGGATTGTTATATAGCATCATTGTCATTTGGGACACAAATGGACTGTGTATTATGCCTCTCTTTATAAATGCCAGGTAACTTAAAACCTTCTCACATGAACACATCCACAGCATTGACCACTTGTGAAACCGAAGTATTACTGAAGAAACTATGATTTCATAACCAGGCCAAGATAGAGTGGCTTAATCATTTCATAAACCCTCATGCATACAGCAGCTAACTTAATCATCTGACAAGCCCCTAATATTTAAAAAATTCACATTATTTAGAATTTATGTTGTTGAAATTAAATTATTTCTATGTACCAAGAATTTTAGCACAGCTTTTAATCAGGCCTAACAATTTAATCAAATATGCCTCTTTGTTTGCATTTGCCTTCCTGCAGTTACACTTTCTTAAACCTCACAAATAAACTTATCTAGCATAAGGAACTGTAGATCATTCTGTTTGTGCAATACTAAACATAAAAATTTTAAGGCCATGCTTACATAGTGATTTTCTGTTATTATTCCCATCTTTCATCTTTTGCTTCTAATTTCAGGAACCTCAAGAAGAACCAAATTCTTTGGTACTTTCCCTGGAAACTATGTCAAGAGGCTGTGAAATTTTTTTTTCTACTTATTTATGCTGCATCTCTGCAACATATCTGCATAAAGCTGCTAGAAAACATGCTACGCTGGCCTTCTGTTTTCTTGCTTGCAGTCTCAAATAGAGGCCATCTAGTTCATCCTCATCCCATCCCACCCGCCAAACCGTTCCAGCAGTATTACAGCAACGACCACAGTGTGAATAACTAAGCTTTTCTGAGACAAGAGGAATCATTTCAACATTTAAATACTCCCTGCTTTAAAGTCTTTTCATGTGAAACACAATAGGAGAAGCCTGATGACAGGTACACAGATGAGTTGCCATGGGGGGTAGGGGGAAAGGGGAGAAAATTATTCCTAGTTTGAACATTTGTGGTACTACCATGAAGTCTGGTGGGATTTTTTTCAGCATGCATGTAATACAGAGGAAAGTTGCTGTTTACTATTTTTTAAAAAATTGATTTTACACGTTCTTATTAGCTTGGCAGCATTTGTTGCTTCCACATTGCTGTGTCACGGGTTTGCCTATTGTACTGGTTTACAATGTATGACAAACTATAATATAGATTTTTTTGCCTGCACTTGTATGCTGTAACAAATGCACAGTGATTGTAAAATCTCAAGGAAGCAAAGTGAAAAATGGAAGAACTGCAAGTGTTCTGAATGGGTGCAATGGTATTGGCTAAATCTTTTGTCTTTTCCCTCATGAAAAACAGTAGTGAACATGTCGTTTTTTTCTGTTAAAAGGTAAGAAGTACAAAAGGCAGAAAGACTTGGGAAAGAGGATTTAAGGAAAAGCGAGACAATGCTGTAAGCATAGACAATAAAAACCTGCTATTGATGTCTGATATTAAATGGTTGTAATCAAAATGTTGTAATAGTAAGCACCATGAAGTATAAGAGGTTAGTGTTTTTACTTATCAGGAAATTAAAGAAGCAGGAAGATAAACAGTGTTAGTGCAAAGGGTTGTTGGGTTTTGGTTTTTTTCTTTCCTAACATAGCCACCTGAAAAATATTCACAAGCATCATGTACTGATTTATTTCACTATATATGTGTATGTATGTTAATGAAACCCAAGTTACACATTCTTTTTAGGAATTTAGACAGAAAAAAGACACAAGTATTAAAACCGATATATTTTAGAGGTGTTGGGTTTTGGTTTTTTGTGTGAATGAACAAGTGTTTGAAACATACATTTTCCATAAGCAAAGGTAAGCATAAATAGCAAATGAAATTAAGGCACAGAATGATAATGACTATGGCTTTATAAAAATAAAAATTTGGATTTGGTTTCTTTGGCACCTTATAGATGGCAAAAGCTTCTGCTGCATTTCTCATGGGAAAAGGATCAAAATTATCAAAATGTATGTAGTCTCTGTAGCATTTTGTATATAATTTTGCTTTTTTGTACAGAGCCATTCGGTTATTGATTTTTAAAAGATTAAGTTTCTTATTTGCCCTCTTCACATACAGAACATTTCAATGTGTTTTTCTTTTCTTGCTCTGTTTACCATAAGCACATCTGGATAGTGCAATTCTGTAAGATAGCATTTTATGCAAAATTTTATTAATTAAAATATGGTTTACCAGCCAAATCTAAATGTACATATGTCTTTATTACTGAGAAAGGTCATTAAGGCAAAGGTAAAGAAACATCTTTGTGCAGCATACCTTTATTATTGCAGATTTCATGGCAAAAGCTTTATATTCAAAGGCTTTCAATTTTAAACTAGATCTGCATGCAGCTTTGCTGTGAGATTAATACTATCTTTGATGCCATTTATGATTGAGGACTTAAATATCTGTTGCCTGTGATATTTAAAAAGTACTGTTTCTACTCTGTATCTGATTTTAGAAAATGCAGGGTTTTCATACCTGGCTTTCAGGTAACTGACTTTGAATTCCTACAAGCAAAAGGTCTCTGTGGTTTTTTTTCCTGAATAGACTTCTAATAAATTTTGCTTGGAGTACAAAACTGTTTCCCCCATCATTTCTCCAAATACAAGTAACTTATCACTTAAGTATTGCAAAGTGCTTAACTCTTCAAGCTTATATGCAGTTACACCTTGTACCTACACATACCCACCCCACACACTGTAATGAGAATGGCAAGCCATTGACACTTCAGGAGAAGATTGTAGTCTTAATCTTTCAGTTAAAAAGTAGAGAAATATTTAAATATATCCAGGTAAACCAAGCATACTCAATTAAGCTAAGTCTGCTGAAATCCCAACTACAGTATTTAAGGGACAAACTAAAGGATTTATGTGTTTCCTTGGATAAGCCCCTATAAAACCATGAAGGACACCCCACACGAGTAGGGATGTTTTGTCCTAAAAGCAGAGCAAGAGATGGGGGAAATTAGAGGCCAGCTAGTTTAATATCTAGGAAAATATGAAAGCGGATCAATGAAAAGCCTCAAATATTCACTTGTTTTTCTAAAAAATTATGTATCAAACCAGATTAATTTTCTCATGTCACCATATGTAGCGTGCTTCTTGATTTCTCTTAGGATTTGCTTTTAATGCTATGAGTTGGCAGCTGGATTTGCAGAAAAGAAAAAAGTCAGCACCAGTGCAAAAAAATCAAGTCTATTGCAGAGTTGCACTACATTACAGACAAATAGGTAACATAACCACAGCATCCCTAAAAACCAGGTGATCTCAGTCCCTAGCCTGCAGCGAGTATATTTGCTGTTGAGGCAAAGGCTTCCTAAAACAAGAAAGCCCGTAACACACCAACAAGCCAGGGCGACTAATGCATGAGCAATTCAGGGTAGTGATCTATATCCCAGACTAAGCAAAGGGTCACCCTAGCAGGTCTCACATTCTGTCACCCATGCCAAAGCAAAGCATGGTGTCATTCTGCCATGCCTGGTATTTACTAGTTGCCTTTTAAATGCTGATATACAGAACCCGGACAGGAACACGAGGTGCTTCCTGTGCATTTGAAAACGCCGTGCATGAGCCCATGGGAAGCTGGAAACATGAAGTCAGTAGCTCTAGAAAGACCTTAGGTCATTGCTAAGTATAGTCCCTTACAGCATTAATAGTTACAGGGTGAAACCCTGCCTTGGCTCCAGTTAACAGCAAACTCCTTTGAAGTCAACAGATCTCACAGTACTGGTAATGATTTCTCTGTTAACATGAAACTAAAACTGCACAAGAAAGAAGCACTAGAACAACTGGATATCCAGTTTGGATTGGTTTTATTATACTGAAAAGTGTGAGCGCACACAGACACCAGAATCCACTTCTTTAACTGTTCCCCCAACAGAGCAAAGCAGATAGTTCTCTTTTTTTAATACTTAACTGTCAAGTTAGCTTAAAAAAACCTCTTTTATCCATCACAACCCCTTGTTGCAACAAGCAAATATCAATCAGACCAATACGTGAATCCATCCATTTCACAGAGCAGGGAACTGCCAGACCAACACAGTGTAAATTGCTACCTTATCCATACACAGTAAATAGGAATGCTGAATTTAATAAATCTTTCTTCTGCAGCTGTATCAATAATCAACATCATGCCATTTATTTAACTGGATGCAAAAACTGTCATTTTACTTTTATCCTCCCTGTAATGGCCAGATAAAAAAAGTTCCCAAGTCCTAGCTAAAGACTGCCCAATATAATCTATTGTCCACATCCACCTAGTGAAGTCACATTCCTTTGAAAATTAAAAATACTTTTATACATATCTATGCAGAATGATAGAAATCCACTGAAACAAAATAATGAGTGAATTCCTGCTTGCACTTCCCTGAGTCAGAAACTAATTAAACCAAAGAAAGTGATACTGGTGACTGCTAGGCTCTCATTTATGGGTTTTATGTCACCTCTGAAACATAAAAAAAAATAGCAGAGGCTTCTAGTTAATATGTGGTGATGAAAGCAGGGAAGAACCTGAAAAATCCTGCAGGTGCAACTTCTAGTGCAAATGTGCTGTAAATACTTATACTTTGTAGCTGCACCCAGGACTCCCATCTGTTTCATTTGCATCAATGAGAATCCCATATATAGTGTATTTAGAAATATGCCTTTTGATATTTAGATTTTGTTTCCTCAGGAGTCACAAAGGAGCAGTTTTGTGCTAAGTTTGTTTTATACCACAAAAAAGTAGAAAACATTCTTACTAAAGTAGCTTGAACACCTATAAAAATTATCCCATACCAATTTTTTGAGCAACCTTTGTATCATGATCTCACATCTAATTACAAATCAGGACCCCAGAGGGTTCCACTGCATCAGAATGGCATTACATCACAAGTGACAGGAGGGCAGGGAGTGGGGGGAAATGTTGACTGACAACACGAAATGTGTTGCTATCCTCAGTACAGACACTCGCATCTCAACAATTCATGTTTCTTGCTGCCAACACAAAGAACAAACTTGGAAGCCATTATTTCATCACCCACGTAAACAAATAGCAAAGTAATCCTCCTACTTTTTCCATCCATCAGATAAATCAGTAAACCACTTTAAAAACATCCCAAGAATAATGTAATTATTTATTTCTACCAGTAAAGAATTACCAGAGTTACAAGCAGTGGCTCTTGATACTTCCCTCCAAAAGGAGGGGTTTCACTTCTCTGTCTCTCATAAGCCAGTTTCCCTTTGCAAGAGAGGGCCCAGTATTCGCCTGTGTCCACTTCGGGGGCCAAGCTCTAGCTCCAAGTGACTGGAAGAGTAATTTGCTATTTAACTATCTTAAAGTGTCTGGTCCTTTAAGATTGTTTTGGCCACCTTACATTAATATAAAATGGAGTAACATTATCTCAAGATTTTCTACAAGTGCCGCTTAAGGAACAAAGAAATAAACTGCTCTATTAAAATAATCAAGCCTTCAGTCGTTTGCATTGAGATTCTTTCCCTCACCCCTGAGTTCAGCATCCAAGTGAAACCAGCACTGCAGATGGGGAACGCTGAGGAGCCTGAACATGTCGTTCTACGTGGGTCATCGCACCGCTTCTGTCGCTGTGATTTGCTAGATAAACCCCAAGCACGCAATGACCCAACTCATGCTTCCCTGGGTTAGCGTTCCAAACTGTAATGTGAAACATGTACAAATACCAGCTGGTTTAATACCCACCAGAGGCTTTTCTTACACTATCGCAGATTCATCTGTTATAGATAGGGGGTTTTTTCACTTGTAACTGGAAGTATTTGAACAGGTGAGAATGAGCCCTTCCCTCCTTTACACCATAAAAGAGGACAAATGAATGTGCCCAGTATGTCTGGGGTAGTAAAGAGCAATATTTATATGCCATAGAAGAGTTCAAGGAAGTATTTATAGATTCATTTCAACTGCTCCTGCAGCCAGCCCTGAGGAACAAGACATAAAGCAGCACACAAGACAATCTGAAGCAGAAAGTATGAAAGTCATATGCCGTCAAAACCACAGGGAAACACCCAGGACACACAAAAAACCCCTCTGATAGCCACTAATCCATACTCAACATTCTGAAACAAGTGTACTGCTACAAAGGGGTGCAAATTTTTTGTACCTACCACTTCAGTCAAAAGGAGTTTTAAAAAGAGTGGTGGAGGAAAGAAATTGGCCCAAACCTACATCAGTATCAGATAATAAATTCTGACCATCACAGCTTTAATTATAAAACTTCTGCAATTTAAGTAGTTACAGAAAATTGACTTTTCAATTCATAACAGTGATAAAATCTGTGCATAGGATCCTGAAATTACTGCTAACTATCCAGACTTTCTCCATTCTTTGCAACACACACTTCCTTTGTTTATCTATTTCATTGCAGGGTCAAAAACAGTGCAGGCTTTGAGACAAGAATCCTCAAGGCAGAAAACCTGCAACTTACTTGTACAGCATTCATGCCAAGATGTCCTTGGTCCTTTAAGGTCTTAAACATTGCTTTAATGCAGGGGGGAAAACACCACTAAATTAAAAAAAGTTGTGTCACTTATGGACATACATTCAAAGGTACATCCTGTACCTCAGATACAGGAACAGCAGATGTTTCAACCTCATCCACTCAAAAAAACCAAAAAACAAAACAAAACAACCAAAAAAAAACCCACAAAAAACAACCAAACCAACCAACCAAAAAAAAAACCAAACCAAAACAAAAAAACCCTAATACACAAGAAAACACACCAAAATCAGAGAAGCTGGGTGGCTACTAGTGAAGAAAGAGCAGTGTATTTGGGACATCAGAGGCAGACAAAACCAAGGAGAGCTGTTTCAGACCCTAGAAACAGGATACCTGGCCATGTTATGGAGCCAGCCTTGTCAGGCTTCTTCCTTCACCACACACATCCTGTGCTTCCATGAATTATAGCTCCCCAGGAAAGCCTTAGAAAGGTAACAATTACAGTCAGACCAGACTGAAAAGAGTCAAGAGTAAGATCAACAGGGGAAGATACAAGCAGCTACAGCAAGCCCAAAGAAATCCTTCAGGCTCTATGGTCCTGCCCACCCTGAAGGGTGTGGTTTTAAGTCCGGCTGGATATTTTTTAAGCCCAGCTGGATATTTGACTTTCCTGGTTTTAAGCCCAGCTGGATATTTGACTTTCCTGGTTTTAAGCCTAGCTGGAAAGTAAGCTGCTTGCTCAGCCTCCCCATAACCCCCCCTTACCAGTGACTTACCTTACTTTTCTCTCCTGTTCTACCACTCCTCCTCTTCCTGTCGGCTCCAGAGGCAAAAGTACTACTGAGGGGAAGGCAGACATCCATGGAATACAGAACATTTTACTACTGAAAATTACTGCAATTCTGTTTTATTCCATTCAAGCCTGACATTCTGGCTCTTGCCCTATCCAAAGGTCTACCAAAACACCTCAGCATCTTGACATCATTGCTGAAATCCAGAACTTCCAAAGATGAGGTCTCCTGCATCAGGCCATAAAACTAATGTTAGCTAACAGCTCCCACAGCACACAGACTGGAGGTGGTTAGAAGACCCTGACTTTAAATATTATGGCAATCAAGCCATA